ATATCAGATAAAAGCAAGGCTAGACGCTGCGTATTTCAAAGCAGGTTGTTTGATTTAACCCAATTGTCAAGTATTGATAGGATCATTTTTTTTTATAATAATTTCCTCAGGCATGATAACATAAAGATCAGACGGTAAAAATTGTGATCAGACGCAGGCTTTTGAATAGATATTAATTTAACCTGTCTCCATGCTGGTGGAACTATATTGAGTTCCATAAAGGAATTATACAGCTTGGGTAATCGACTTTTAGCGATATCGGGGAGGTTTTTTGGAAGGTCGAATTTGATCATACCGCTTTCCGGAGCAGAGTTATTCGATGAAAGAAGCGCCATTGAAAATTTCAGCATTGCGAATGTTTCTGGTACACCTTAAATCAACCAATAATCAGCGTCTGTTCTTACTGTTAAATTTAAATTATTACTTGAGATAGCGTCAAAATCTAAAATGCGATACCTTAAAGCACATGAGATTTCATTCATCACCTCACTTTTCAGAATTTCTACATAAAGACCGACTAAAAGTAAATTGGTACGCCCCTTGCGCGTCGCTAGCACGCTTCTAGTGTTGGGAATCGAAAATCTTTGACAGTGGTTTGTTTACACTTCCAAAGAAAACAACTGGTGCAAGTTTGATCAAAGCAGTCTATCGCGTTCAGAAATAACGTCAAATGGATATTGTGCACAAACACCTGGGAAATCCGGAGTGGTCCGGTGCTGAAGATGCCGAAAACAACAGTCGGTCGAGTGCTCAAAACCTACAAGGAAACCCTGTGTGTGGAAAGGAATCAGCGGACCTACGAAGAAACTGGAACTGCGCAGCAAGGTGTTGAGGTGCGTTAAAGCCAACCCCGGTCTTTTGATCCGAGATGTGGCCAGAAAGTACAACGCCAACCTTCAAACGGTGCGGAACATCCTTGCCAGGGAAGGATACAAGTCGTACAAAGCCAGTAAACATCCGAACCGTCACATGAAGTGGAATTCCGTTTCCAGAAAGCGTGCAAGGCTCTTGTACGACTGTGTTTTGACGAAACACGAGGGCTGCACTTTGATCGATGACGGAACATGCGTCGCACTCGATTTTAAGCAGCTTCCCGGTCAAAAGTTTTACATCGTGGTTGGACGTGGGAATGTGCCGGGAAGATTCAAGTTCGTGTTTGCCGACAAGTTCGCCAAGAGGAACCATTCGTCACATCATCGACGAGGACATCCCAAGTTTACATCGAAGAATGCCTGAAAAAGCGTGTACTGCCGTTCATCCGCAAGCATAAGGGCAAAGTCATCGTTTGGCCCGATTTGGCCAGCTGCCACTACTCCAAGGTGGTTTTGGAGTGGCATGCTGCCAACAAGATCGATTTTGTCCCCAAGCTAATGAATCCTCCGAATTGACCGGAATTTCGACCAATCGAAAAATACTGGGCAATTTCAAAGCACGTATTCGACGAAGCGGCGGGGCAGTCGAGGACATCCAGCAAATGCGGGCAAAATGGAATAAATGCGCCAATTCCGTGTCCATTACCACTGTGCGGGCGCTGATGGGCTCCATCAAGAGGAAGGTTCGAGATTTCGTTCGAACTGGTGAAATTTAACCATCTAATGCTGTAGCTTTGAAGTTTTAATAAAAGTAACGTTTGCATTAAAAAAATGAACAAAAATTGACGATTTTTCATGGGTTTACCTTCACCCGCACTGACGAAACTACCCATGCAGCATCAGTCATAGTAACCCATGATTCAGCAGACAAAATTTGACAGCTCTATCAGCCGAACTCTAACCGTGATGGAAAAAAAACAGTGAAGCAACTCCGTTCAGAAGTTTGGAGGCGAAGCAGCCTCAGGCTGAAAGCCTCCTAAATAAAGACAAATCAATCAATCCGTTCAGAAGTGTGCGCGTTCAAAGAACGGCACCCCGCCGCGTCGAAAACGGACATCGTGCGGCACTTTGTGGACGCCCGATACGCCCGTTCCGGCATCTACAACATCTTGGCACCATTAGACAACAATCAGAGCATTGAAAGAAAGCCCAGTTCCGGAAGGCCGTCGACCCTGAGCGACAAGAAGCTCCAAAGGATGTTGAAGAGGAAGACCGAGGGAAAAGTGGCTACATCGCTGCGTGCGCTTGGCCGGGATGTCGGTGCAACCGGCCAAACAGTGAAAAAGTACCTGGCGAACATGAACATACATATCAGGAAGCGGAAGTCACGTCCGCTGGTTTCGGAGCTGCAGGCAATGACGCAGCGGCAGCAGCTGAATAAGATGGTCAACTCGTTTTTCCCAGCGAATCGCGACGGTGGTGATAGACGACGAGAACTATCTTACCCTGGATGGCAACCACTGGCAGGGCACTTTGTATTTTCCTTCCCCCACGAAGGAAGTGAGCTCCGACGTGAAATTCATTGCACACACCAAGTTCCCCAAGAAGGTGCTGCTGTGGCTGACAATCAGCGAGAAGGGCATGTCAAAGCCGCTCTTCTTTCGCTCCGGAATGGCCGTGAACGGGGTAATTTATAGTACGAAATACCTGCCGGAAGTTGCGTCGTTCATCGAGAAATACCATAAGGGCAAAGACGCGGTGTTCTGGCCGGATCTGGCGTCGGCCCACTACTCGAAGCGATCGTTGGAGGAGATGGAGCGACTGAATATCGATGTGGTACCCAAGTCGGTGAACCCGCCCAACGTCCCCCAGCTGCGTCCCATCGAGAATTTCTGGGCCAACCTGAAGTTTAAGATCTACTCCAACAATTTTGTCGCGAAAACTGAGGAGGAATTGATAAATAAAACGAAGAAAGAACTCAAAAACATGCCTACACGCATGTTTTCGTCCGCCATGGCGAATGTTCCGGTTAACTGCCGGAAGGCCGCTCGCAAGGGCGTGGAATTTTTTTGCAAGTTAGCTAAAATAATTACCTTCCATGGGAAATTTATCAAAAGAAATTATTTGCCTTAACTTTATTTATCACCATCCGAAAAAAGTCAATTTTTTTAATGCAAACGTTACTATAAAACAATCATGAATGGACTTTTTAAACTTATTGAATCACGAATTACAGGTGGATTAATTAAGGTTAACAAGTAATTTCTTTGAAGTTAATCAAAAAGTGGTCTCTAGCAAAGTTGTAGCTGATATATTTTCGCATAAGAACAAATACCAAACTTTTCCTTAAATTATTATGGCGAAGCTCTAGGACGTTGAGAACATAAAGTTCACTGTTCCCATAGTAATTTCTATAAGAGTGACTTACCGCTGTCGTTGTGTATTGTTTGTTATTTATAAAACGTTACTGTATTAACGTAAACGTTAACGATGAATTTTATTTATTTTCATATGTTCTAATACATCTCCTTACAATACACCAAGCCATAGTGTTAATCCTATCCAGGATGGTTTTATTCTATTAAAATATTGTCGCATTAATTTTCGGTGATAGCAATACTACAATCTAATCAGAATTGTTTTCTACCCACTGACAGGTCTACTGCTCGATTGGCAGCACTTATGGGACAGTTAAATTGGCTGCAGATACGACTTCTCGGTTCTCTCTCTCTTACAGGGCTATACCCAAGTAACAATTTGTAATGTTATTTGGGAATTAATTCCCATATAAACTTCAAAGGGCCAGTGAAGTTGAGTTTACATTTGATTAGACTTCAAGGTCGATTTAATTTATAAAATTTAATCGATTTCGAAGCAGGGCAAGACTGCACTTATAACATAGTAGCCTGGATTTTTTGCCCTTATCTTCGCGCAATGCACAGTGGGCCAGGAATGCAATCTAGCGGAACGAAATAAATAACTCCAAAACGAGTAATTTTAGTGATTTTTTGTCTTCGGAAATGTTTTTTGAAAAGAAAAGCTCTATGTGTTTAAAATGTGTAAAACAAAAATTGTGCCCGAAAGAGGTGAACCCAAGAGGTAAGTCGCTCATCACATTGTGCCGCAATTAGATTTAGCACAACTTGGGCACATCCTTCAGCACAATCTCGTAGGCATTTGATTGTTGTAAATAAAATGGGAGCACTGCTGGTCACTGAAGTTTTTCACAACATTACGTGCAGGAACATTCTCTAATTAAATACACCAGAGGAACTTAGACCAGCAATTCACTTCTCGGTTCTCTTATAGATTTAAATCCGAAATGCCGCTAGACCGATTTACCCTTGCAATTTCAAACCAAAACATTTAAGGTGTCAGAAATACCGGGTTGCCAGGATGGATATTTTACAAACAAACGCAGCCGCTCTATGATAGGCACAATCGAAACACCTGCGGCACACTTAAAAAAATATGACCCAAAATTGGTGTGCGGAGTGACCTACCTCTTGGGTGAGCCACTCTGTCAAGACCCTACTAGACTAAAATCCAACCTGCAACCTATAATAGCGTAATGCACCAAATACTGGACGATGAATTAATCTGGACATTTAATTTTATTTAATTAAATATTAACAGCATTGTTCCAAGAAGAATTGAAGAACGGGAGATTTTTTGTCGATGGGCCCAATCTTTAAATCCATAGGCCTACTATAGAGCCATTTACTCTATGTGCGATGATTTCGTACAACACTAAAATACCATGGAAAAACGCACTTGCTATTTTGAGAAAAGCAGGTAGTGATAATCAAAAGTGTCCGGATTTATGGACACAGTGTCCGGATTTTGAATCTTTATGGCTCTAATTTGTAAAAACAGACATTTTTCTAAATTTGTTTATCGCGAAGAACTGATCAAAATCGTAATGCACCAAATGCCTGACAGTATTTCAATCCTGAAATTTCAATTTTAATTATATTTTACATCCACTTGGCAGCCTAATAATTATGTTAGACGAACATGTACGACACGTGTTGATGATCATAAAATTTAAGTAGGTAAAAAAACGTAATACGACTTTTCCCATCTAATGAGTTCCGATTACCTCCCCATCACCTAGGATAGGCAACAGAATGCTAATGGTTCCAAATCAAAATTAAAGAGCAACCGAAGCCCTCATTTTAAATTTACCTTCCCTCCACTCCTTCGTACAGCTGCAAAAACACACTGACGCTCCGGTTCCGTGCGTCATCGAACCCATTCGGATGGATCTCCAGCCGCCACGTGTTGCCCAGGTCATCCCGCACCAGATCCGAATACTGCACCTGGTTGCCCATACGAGCCTGATTGAAATTCCTCACCGTAAAACGCCACACCGTCGGTGCCGGCATCATCTTGCAGTAAAACTTATGTTCCGGGACGTTCGGTGCCAGCAGCTCGAGCTTCTTGCCCAGCACATGGCACTGGGTTTCCAGTTGCAGCTGCACTTCCGGAGCCGGATCCTGGGAAATGCTCTCCTGCAGAGTGTACAGCGACACATCCAGCTTGTTCAGCTCTTTGAAGAGAATCTCACTCCAAGCATCCAACTCGGCCAGCTTGGCTTGGTACTGCTGGTTAACATCCCGGAACTCTTGCTGCACTAGAATGTTGATCGATTTGATGATTCCGTCCTTGGACTTTTTCAACGCATCCCTCCGGCCATCCAGGCTCCGATTGATTCGTTCCGTGGTAGCAGCAAACGAATCCTGTGTTTTTCGCAAAGTGCCTTGCAAATTTTTAACACCACCCGCCGAGGATTCCACTGGTTTTGCCACTAAATTTCTTAGCGATTCGATACCATTGCCCCAACGAAATTTCACAAAGTCCGCCAGGCAGACCGTGCCCAAACAGTTTGGACACGTGTCGTTTCCGGACTTTTGCAGCCAATCCCGAATGCAGCCATAGCAGAAAAACTTGGAGCACTTGGGACAAAGGTGCGGATCGTCCGTCGTCTTCAAACAAATCTGACACTCTAAACTATCGCTCAGTTCCTGCAGCAGCTGTTGCTGTTGTTGTTGTGATACTTCGCCGGCCATCTTGCCAAATAAGCATTCACTGATGCTCTCAATTTCTCGTGCTTATCTCGAAACGATCAAGATCCTCGATGCTGCCTGGTTTTACTCGCCACATCCGCTGCTGCTGCTGCTGCTACGGCGGTCGTAGAGCTCTGACCTTATCGCCTCGAGCACTATCGCACGGTAATCCTAGAGTGATCTTCTTTTCACCACTTTTTGTTTGTACACTATGCAAAAAATCGACCTTCTTCGCGATCAATCCTCGGAAAAACTAACCGGAGCAGCAATGACAAGCGGGCCAAGCGTTTTCTCTCGATCCGTATGGGTGGGGTTCTATTTTTGGCCATTTCCCAACGGCGCAAGTGCGTTCTGAGCGAGCTGGCAAGTGAGTGTTGGTGAGCCACCTCAGTGACGGCGCTGCTGATCTTGAACGAAAACAAAACTGCGATCCAAAAATAGCTGACTGAGTACAGCATCCATGTGTACTGCTCGGGCGCCTCGATCGTCGTCCGCTTTTCGCTTTTCTAATTGGTACTCGGGCTACGTGTAGTAATCGATGTTGCTATTCTCAACAGCTGTTTTGAATGATGATTGAGACATGCATAATTCCTTATCAGTGCATTGAATCGTGGTCATTGACTAGGTTTGTCGATAAGCGATTATGAATGAACTATCTCCGGATCGTTGACTGGAACAAATTAACCACCTCAGCAAAATGATCCATATAAAAAGGACCTGCTGGAAGTCAATCGGCACAGTTCGACTTTTCCTTTCCTCTCGTCGAATAGCAAGTAAAGGAGTGAAGTGATCCAGTGAAACATGATTGCGAAACTGTTCTTCCTCGCTCTGGGTAAGTGTCATTTTCCAGCTCAATCAATAGAAAGAAATCTGACAAAAAATCTTTTCCTTCTTCCATTCTTTAGTGGGGATCAGTACTGCCTACCAGTACTCGTACCAGAACGAGTTCAACTACGAACGCCCGGAGAACAAAACCGGATTCGAATACGGCGCTTGGGAACCCAACCGTCAGTATGTCTACAATGTCACCTCGAAGACCATGACCGCTCTGCCCGATCTGGAAGATAATTGGACTGGAACCATTACCCGTGCCTATCTGGTATTCCGCCCGAAGAGTCCGGAGTATGTCTTTGCATACGTCAAGGAGCCAGAGTACGCCGTTTTCAACGAATACCTGCCCCAGGGCTACAATACCGAGCTTTCACATCACAAATTGCAGTGGCGCCCGATGCCAATGAGCTCTAAGCCGATTGCCATCCGCTACAGCAAGGCGACAATCAAGGGATTTTACGTCGATCAATCGGTCCCAAATCATGAGGTCAACGTGCTGAAAGCCTGGCTCAGTCAATTCCAGCTGGACACCCGCGGTGCACGCATGGTTGATTCGAAATACAATCAATTCCCCGGAAACAACTCCTTCACTGGTGTCTATGAGGTCATGGAACCGGTCGTAACTGGCGAATGCAAGACCCTCTACGATGTCAACGTTGTCCCACCCTACATGGTTCAAGCCAACAAGCATTGGGTTCCTCAGCCTCAGCTCCGTGAACAGGGACAATACTTCTTCCAGGTTGTCAAGACTCAGAACTTTGATCACTGCAAACAGCGCATGGGCTACCACTTTGGATTCAGCGGCTACAGTGATTTCCGACCCAACACCAACCAGATGGGCAACGTTGCCTCCAAATCTGCTGTCTCGAACATGTACTTCACTGGTACCTGGTACAACTATACCATCCAGTCCTCGAACACCGTTAACAAGGTCGCTATTGCTCCCTCTCTGGTCAACAAGCACAAGGCCCTAGTCTATGCCGCCGTCAATTGTACCCTGAACCGAGTTGAAGAATACACGCAGACCCCAATTGGACCGGCTGAAGATCACAAGGTCTTCGTCGATATGGTCTACAGCTATAACATGCCCAGCGACAAGAAGAACAGTGTGCGCCCTGGCAATGAAACATCCTCTTCATCCTCGTCTTCGTCTTCCTCGGAATCTAGCTCTTCCAGCTCCAGCTCCAGCTCCGAATCTCAGGAGGAGAACCCCAAGGTCAGCCCCATTGATCAGTACAAGGAACAACTGGATGAAGTCGAGAAGCGTGGAAACCGCAACCGTCGTGACCTGAATGCCTACAAAGAAAAGCAGTACTACGAAGCCTACAAGATGGATCAATATCGCTTGAGCCGCAAAAATGATACCTCATCTGACTCTAGCAGCTCCGACGATTCTTCGTCCAGCAGCAACTCCTCGGAGTCCCAGGATCACAAAAATTCAACCTCCTCCTCCTCTTCCTCCTCTTCCTCATCATCCTCTTCTGAATCCGGTAGCTCATCCTCGGAGTCCGACTCTTACTCCCTGAGTAGCGAGGAGTTCTACTACCAGCCAGCTCCGGATAGCTTTAAGGAAGCCCCTCAGACTCCGTTCCTGCCATTCTTCACCGGCTACAAGGGATACAATATCCAATACGCTCGTAACGTTGACGGTCAGCGTTCCATCTACAAACTGGTCCAAGAAGTCGCCGATGAACTGCAGAACCCATCTACCCTGCCAAAGTCCAACACCCTGAGCAAGTTCAACATTGTTTCCCGCATTTTCCGCACCATGAACTACCAGGACATCTACGATGTTGCCCAGAAGTACTTCGTTTCGCAAAAGGAGCGCAAGGAAGGCGATTACAATAGCGAAAAGTTCGCCAAGCGTGTTGACTCTTGGAACTTCATCCGTGATTGTCTGGCTGAAACTGGAACTCCAGCAGCCTTCCAGCTCATCAGGGAATTCATCGAGGAAAAGAAACTGCGTGGTCCAGAGGCTGCCAGCGTCATCTCCACCTTTGCTCAATCGCTCCGATACCCAACTGAGTCGCTGCTGCATGAGTTCTTCCTGCTGACTACTTCCGATACCGTCCAGCATCAGGATGGCTTGAACACAACCGCTCTATTCACGTACACCTACTTCGTCAACCAGGCTCACGTAAACAACCGCTCGGCCTACAACTACTACCCTGTGTACAGCTTCGGACGTTTGGCCGATGCCGACTACAAGATCGTCGCTCACAAGGTCGTTCCATGGCTCTCGCACCAGTTGCGTGAAGCCATCAACAATGGAGACAGTATCAAGGCTCAGGTCTACATCCGTTGTCTTGGAAACCTCGGACATCCAGAAATCCTGAATGTGTTTGAACCCTACATGGAAGGCAAGTACCACGTCAGTGACTTCCAGCGTCTCGCTATGGTTGCCGCTTTCGATAAACTGGTAGAAAACTACCCGCATCTGGCCCGTTCTGTGCTGTTCAAGATTTATCAGAACATTGGAGATGTTCATCAAATCCGATGCGCTGCAGTGCACCTTCTGATGCGTGCCAATCCTCCAGCTGATATGATGCAACGCATGGCTGAACATACCCACTTCGATCCTAGCAAATATGTGCGTGCTGCCGTCAAGACTGCCCTGGAGTCAGCTTCTGAAGCCTACGAATACGATTACTACAACGGATTTGCCGAGAATGCCAAGGCTGCCATCAAGTTCCTGAACCCAGAAGACTACAGCTTCCAATACTCGTCGTCGTACATCCGCGATTACGCTTTCGAAAATCTGAACTTGGCTTACCGCATGTACTACGGACAGGTCGCGGCCGATGATCACTACGTACCAAATGGTATGTTCTTCCAGCTGCGCAACAACTTTGGAGGTTTCAAAAAATACACCACTTTCTACTATCTGTTCTCGAGCATGGAATCGTTCTTCGATCTGATTGACAAGCAATACGATAGCAGCTACTTCCAGGAGGACTACAAATCTGCTGACTACTACTACAAGTACTACAAGAAGTTCCCGAACAAGAAGAGCGAATACTTCGATAAGTACTACAAGTTCCACGGACCACAAAGCGACTACTACCAGAAGTTCAGCAAGAGCGAACACAGCGACAAGGAACCGCAGAAGTACTCGACCACTCGCATTGCTAAGCTGTTGAACATCGATCCACAAGAAGCTGAAGAATTGGAAGGACAATTCATGTTTAAGCTCTTCAACGGATACCACTTCTATGCCTTCAATAACCAAACCATCGAAAACACACCACAACGCATCAAGCAGTGGTTCGAAGATCTGGAAAATGGATGGAACTTCAATCTCACCAAATTCTACCAGCAGCAGGAAACTTCTCTCTGTTTCCCGTTGGCCACCGGATTCCCATTCGTGTACACCTTGAAGACCCCAACGGTGTTCAAGTTTGAAACTCATGCTCACGTCAAGACCTACCCAAGCATCCACAAGAACCCAACTGGCCATCCTGAAAACGAAAACGACGACTTCATCTACTGGCCCAAGGTTCTGAATGGATCGATCGATGTCAACTTCCTGTACCATCGTATGGAGGACACCAAGATTGGATTCCTTACTCCATTTGACCATCAACGGTACATTGCTGGTTACCAGAAGAAACTATACACTCATCTGCCATTCAACGTTGAACTGTCGTTGGACTTTGAAGCCCATGAATACGAATTTGATTTCTCGCCATTGAAACCCAAGGAAGACCAGCTGCTATTCCACCTGAGCTCGTGGCCATACACCGGATACAAGGACATCACTGAAATGCGTCCGGTCGCTGAAAATCCGAACTTCAAGATTGTGCACGATGACGATCAGTCTACCAAGTACTTCGAACACACCTTCGGACAGGACTTGACTGGTATTGCGCTACGCTGCCACGCCAAATACGATCAGGAATTCTTCAACTTTGAACAGTTCTACGAATTCTACAAGGAAAACGATTTCTACTCTGCTTTCTTCTATCCATTCGCCACTCAACCCTACGAATACCACCAGTTCAATGTGTATTACGACGCTCAGCGCACTGATGTCCAGAATTTCAAGTTTTCGGCTCACTACAAGGAAGGAGACTTTGATCAGGACTTCCAGGATTCCGATGTAACGCACCCGAAGGGACGTCACGCCTATGCCGGATACTACAATGAAGCCAACTACGCTCAACCCATCGTGTTCTCTGCTGCTAGTCAACGCCGTCAGGAGCAGTTCATCAAGAACGCCGCTGCAGGAATCCGCAACAGCGATGTAGGAGTCTTTGACTTCGGATTTACCTTCGAAGGTAAGAAGCAGAAGGCCGAATACGTATTCACCACTGCTTACGCCAGCAGTCCAGTCGACGAGAAGTCTCGATTCCTGTTCTTCTTCTCTGGTAGCCCATACTACTCATCTAAATACTTCTTTGGAATGCCATACGAAGGAAAACAATTCCAGATGTGCTTCTCTGCCACCAACGAGTTCCCCAATGTACCGAAGCTGAACTTCGTGAATGCTCTGAACCAAAACGAGGACGCTAATCTGAAATGGGAGTTTTCGTACGGTGAAAAGTGCCAGGGAGGAGCTCAATTCTCCGTTAAGGGTAAATTGCACCAGTCGGACATGTACCGTCACTATCTGCGCACGTCGCAAGTTGGCTCGACCTGCAAGGAACAAATGGACCATGGATACTACCAGCTGAAGGAATGCCAGAACGCCACCCGCCAGGCCAGCTATTTCGATCAGTACTTCTTCAAATTCGACTACAAGAACTTCGACTCCTACTCGCAGAACTTAACCTACAAGTTCTTCAACTTCTTCCAGCAGTTTGCCTATCCTTACTATGAATCGAACTACTTCTACAAGGGCAAGAACAACCAGGGTCAGTTCAACTTCGAGCTGGCTCCGTACGCCGACTACTTCAACGCTTCCTTCTTCGGTCCGGAATTCGCCTTCAAGGTTGAAAACTACCCGATCTTCAACTACTACCAGAGATACTTTGCCTCGGTTCACTCCGATCTGTCCTTCTTCGATCGCTTCGCAACCTATGCCTACCGTGGACAGTACAACCGTAAGTAGTTTAATTATGTTTTGAGGTTTGTTCGTTGGTTAATGTGGGTTTTTTTTCTACAGCGTCCTGCGCCGTTTCCAGCAAGTACATTGCTACTTTCGATGGAAAGTATTACGATTACAACATGGGTGACTGCTGGCATGTTCTGCTGCACACTGTGAAGCCTGACTACGAGTACTACCCTTACCAGTCGCACTTCCAGAACTCCGACTACGAATACCGCTTCAAGAATGGATTCGATGAGGATCAGCAGGTCAGCATCCTGGGACGTTCCGGACCAAACAACGAACTGTTCTTCAAGGTTGTCTTGGGACAATACAAGCAGAATGACTACAACATCGACATCATCCCTAATGGATCTGACTTGCCCAAGGTTTACATCAACGGAAAGCCACAACAGGTTCATGAGAAATACGCTGTTGAGCTGTACACCAACGACAATGGAGGCGACCAGCCACTGTTCCGTTGCTATGCTCTGCCAGGAAAGGAAGTGGAAATCAGCATCCGCGATGACGATCTGAGAATTGTGTTCGATGGATTCCGTGCTCGCTTCTTCGCTGATCAGTCGTACTACAACAACTTTGTCGGTCTGTGCGGAACCAACAACGGCGAATACTACGACGAGTTCGTTACCCCCGATCAGTGCTACTTGCGCAAGCCAGAATTCTTCGCCGCTTCGTACGCGCTCACCGGCCAGAACTGCACTGGACCAGCCAAGGCTTTCAACTATGCCTACCAACAGAAGGCCAAGGAGGAATGTGTCAAGAAGGAGGTCTTCTACGGAAACGTAATCAACGAGCGGGAAAACTACCGCCAACGCTACCGCTACTACAACCACAACGTTGAAGACAACAGCTCGTCGTCTAGCTCCTCCTCATCGTCTGATTCTTCGTCCTCTTCTTCGGAATCCAACTCGCATGGTAAATCCGACAGCTCCAGCGAGGAGAACAACAACAATAAGAACAAGGACAGCTACAAGGACAGCTACAAGTACAACAACGAGGATTACCAGAACAACAACAAGGAATACCACCCACACCGGCAACAGTACACTGTGAAGGAGTGCGAAGTCAAGCACCAGCATCAGTTCTTCGAGGAGGGTAGCCAAATCTGCTTCTCTAAGCGCCCGCTGCCAGCCTGCCCAGCCCACTGTATGGCCACCGACAAGACTCCGAAGTACTTCGACGTCCATTGCCGCAGCAACGAAGACCCAGCCGCCAAGCTGTACAAGAGCCAGATCCAGAAGGGTTTCAACCCAGACATGAAGTCTCGCACCGTCTCCAAGACTGTCAAGTTCAACATCCCGAAGACCTGTGTCCACAATCAGTAAAATGTGTACTACACCAACAAGCTACCCGGACCCCGCCTAAGAAAAATGTCGAATCAAAGGCAAGATAAAGTGTATAATTTTTAAGGCAATAATCAACTGAATAAAGCAAATTTTGAGCAATTAATCAAAGTTCTTTCCTGTGGTACGGGTTTCTTTGCCATCATGTCCCTGGGGCACTCCAGTTCGAGCTTCGAAAAAGTCTCCGCTGCAGCAACCGCTCCCTCTCCATGGTGCTCATTATTTCCGATGAGTAAACAGATAAATCACTCACTCTCCTTCATCGGGCCGAATGGGAAACTTATTCTAATGAGAATGTCTTAATTAAGCCTTAATACTTCCTGCGGTGATGTCTTGAATTGCGGAGATATGCACAGTGTAGCATGGGAACGGCTTAGGTGGAAAGCACAACGGTGGCGGCAACTTTGTTCAACCGGGATGATGAATAAGGTCAAGCTTGCAAATTGATTGACCACAAACCACCATCAACCGTACCGTGGACGGAATCCTGAGGAAAGCTACAGCCACCACCGGCTTTCGTTCGTGTGGTCTTGGCAATGGCGTGGTCAGGTCCAGCTAATGGTTCTACGATGTTGCCCAGCTAATATATAACAAGACATCCTAACCAGCACACTTCTGCAAGGGGGATCTTATAACATACCAGTGACTTAGTTTTGTCAGTATTAAGTTCACCTAGTTGTCTAGAATCAATATGGAATCAGAAAAATAAAACCTTCTCCCCTGCTACGACACTGCGGACAATGTTTCTTGCCATCGTCGATTGAATTCTATTCGGGGCTCAGAAGAGACACACAACCAATATGCAAATTGGCAATTGCAGCAGTGCGTTGCTTTAGGATATCCCAACGCGATCGGTAACGATCGCCACCACCATCGTCGACTGATGTATGACGAACAGCCTTAATAAATTACCCGGCATCAAATCCCCGTAGAAGGAAATTACCAACCCATGGGAAATAACTTTATTAATTTAACTATTTTAATGAGACGAAAAGCATCACCCGCCAGACATTCGGCCGTAAACAACTAGAATTATTCTAATCGGAAAGCTTCGCCGACCGATCGAGCGTTGCCGCTTGCAGTTGAGTCGAACCGAATGCCTGTCAGTTTAAATTAGCGTAACCTAGTACTACGAGCAGGAAAGTGAAACTTCTGGAGGCCTTCAAACTGCAGTCTAGCACTAGCAGGAAATCGCGTGCATCGAATCCATAAACAAATGCACGTTTTAAACGAGCGACGCTTAAGAATGAAGGATATGCAACGTACCTACCGCCATCTATCTATGGACATGGGGAAGAGTTTTTGTCGAAATTAGCTCTGACAGACGCGGTGCGCTTCCTTGTTGCCGAGTGCAGCGCGATCATGCATTTCACGCGAATTATGAGCGCATGTCAATATCGAGTGAAGCGGAAGAGAGAGGGGGGGCAGCTGGCGTCTGACCTGAGATGCCTTCCTTATTTACAGAAACGTGCAGTCAGGCGAAATATTTACCCGATCATGCCCGAGCTGTCGTGACAGTTTATGGCGAGGATTAACAACACTTGACTTGGCCATTCTCTTCCCTTTATGATACACGGCAGCCAGAGCGTAGCGCGAAAATGATCTATACTGGTCCAATCGTCGCGACGTCCGTCGGGACGGTGATCGGGTGCAGGTTGCAATGTTTGTTTTAGTGCGTTGTCACTACTGAGCTAGAACTTTGAACTGAAATTCAGTTAGGAAGTATACGGCACTAGCCAAGTAACCATCAAACCCACTAATGCAAAAAGTGCAATAGGGGAAATGACTCCAATGTTGGCCTATGGATCTAAGATTGGGCCCATCGCTAAATGGATATGTTCGGTCGCTATTGAAAATTTAGTCGATTGCTGAATTTATGTATGGGCCCAAATTAGGGACATTTAGGCCGACATTACATCCATTTCCCCTATGATACTGATATGATGACTAATATCAAAATTCAAAAACCTTATGGTGACATAGGATATATGTCCCTAACCCAGCGTTGCCAGATATACCGATTTATTGGTATTTATACCGATTTCCGAACTATATACCGATATACAGATAAGGTTCCTCCGAATACCGATTTTTAAGATTTTATACCGATTTATACCGTTTTTTTAAATAATCAAAATTATTATTGCCTGCCCGCCCTCCAATTTTGGAGAAAATTACTGTGAGAGACTTGTATCTTTTTGAATAACTCAAATTTTTGAGCTCTCAAAATTCATAAAAAAAATCATCTTTGAAAATGTCATACGCTTGATACTCATAGGCTAGTCAGTAAAGGCACGGTATTACCAAGCCGGAGGCGGCGGGTTCGATTCCCGGTCCGGTCGAGGGAATCTTTCGGGTTGGAAATTTTCTCGACTTCCCTGGACATAGAGTATCATTGTGCTTGCTACACAATATACAAATTCATGCATTGGTATTGGCATCGAAAGCTCTCAATTAATAACTGTGGAAGTGCATTAAGAACACTAAGTTGAGAGCACGCAATAATCTAATATGCGCTAAGCAATAAGCTTAAAATGCGAATAAGAAAAAGAAGTTGATACTCTTTTGACTAATGTTTCTATTTCTTCAACGTTTTTGGTTACCCATGAATCGAGAAACTGTCGATGGCTCTTTTCGGTTATTCCTAGAGAATCGTGAAATACTTTTTAAACAATTTTTAACTTCCTAAAGCTTTTGTTCATTTTTATCTTCCTGAATTTTCTTCCAACTTTCGCCTGGAATTTTCTTCCACCTTACACCATAACTTATTTCACGATTCCTCCCGAACACTTATTTCAACTTCCCTTGGAAGCTTCTTCAGACATCGAATGGTTCTTCTCCTGAACTTCAGGGATGTTTCCCCTATTTTTTATTGCGGATTCACACTAGCTGCAAGAACTTTTAAGAAGTTCTGAAATTCAGACAAGTCTAGACTTCTGAGTAAGCTCCGATAAATTAAAGATAGTTTCATTAACTTCTGTTCAAATTCCAAAACCCGAAAATTTCAGGAAAGTCCAGCAAACTCCAGTGAACTTACGAAAACATCAGAAATATTTAGGAAACTTCACAAGTTCAAAGAACTTCAGGGAAATTTAATGGTTTTCAGGAAAGTTTCATTTGTTTCAGAGAATTGAGAGAACTTTAGGGAAGCTCTGTGAACATCAGGACAGATCAAATAATTTCAAGGAAATGCTGATATTTCAAAGGATTTCCGAGAAATTCAGGCAATGTTCCACAAATTTAGGAAACATAAGGGTAGTTACATGTCCATTAGAACATTGTGAGAACATTTTATGGGAAGTTCCTTGCTTTTTAATGGCAGTGCCAAGAACTAAAACTTTAAAAATAGGGAAGATCAGAGATATTCAATGCTAATGATACAATAAATTCAAGAAAATTGTGAGAGCACTTAAGAAATTTCGTAATCTTTAAGAAATGTCAGATACCTTCAAAGATGATTATAGATATTCATTATAATAGACATTATAATCAGGGAAGTTCCGAGTACTTGAAGGATGATCAGAGAAACAGCCCCATTAACTTCAAGAAAATTACAATAAGTTTTAAGGAATTCCGTGGAATTGTGGAATATTCCTATGTGCATTTCAGAAATGTTCCGAAAACTTCAGGGATGTTTTATGCATATCAGGAAAATTGGCTGGATCATTAGAACATCCCCCAGAAATCTCTTTCTTCCGGAATTATGTCCTTGTTTCATTCGACTGTTCCGTAGGCGCTCTTGCTTCCGAATTCCTCCAGAAGTTTCTTGCAATCTGCCTTAGGAAGTGTCTGCCAGCGTCTCTTCAGGAAGTTTCTTCCGTCTTCTTCTGGAAGTGTGTCCATAAGCCATAGGTTTTCGACTTTTATTGGAAGGTTTTTCCGAGCTTCTTCTGGCTTCCCCTAGAACTGGCTACTTCTGGAATTTACTTCTATGCAGGGTTGCTTCCACTCACTTGCTATAAAAAAATATTTTTCGGAATTCTGCAATCATTAGATGTTATAATGATATGTTGCACTAGTAAGTAACAAGAAGAGGGTGTAAAGTATATGTTTGACTCATAAAACCTGTCAATTTCGCTTTCAGAGCGTCACAATCAGCGATCTTATGATTCGTGAGCGTTCACTCAGAGTGAGCGCTCTCGAGTTGTAAAATCGCTGATTGTGACGTACTGAAAGCAATATTGACAGATTTAATGTGTCAAACATATACTTCATGACCTCTTCTTGTAACTTACAAGTACTAATTAGCATTATACTATTTCATGATTTCATAATTCCGAAAAACATTTTTTTATAGCAAGTGAGTGGAAGTAACCCTGCTTCTATGTTCCGAATATTTTCTTCCTTTGGATGTAACGTCCGATTTTTTTTTCGATGGTTTCTTTGAATATTCACTAGAAGCTTCTCAATTCTTGTCTTGGTAGTTTCCGGATGTTTCTCCAACTTTTCTTAGAACTTTCCTCAAATTTCTTCCAGAAGAGCTTCTTTCTTCTTTATCGAGATGTTCCATCAGAAGCTTATTCAAACATTCCCCGGAGTTTTCTTTCAGAATTTTCCGATCATAGTCCAAACGTTGAAATTTTCGCTTTCAAAAACAGCTAAAATATAAAATAAATTAATATAGTAAATACTGATAAACACCGATTTTTTAAAAACTTTGATACCGATAAACTTTAAAACAATCTGGCAACGCTGCCCTAACCTCGTGTCAAATTTGAAGCCTTGTGGAATCGCGTTTCTTTTTCACTCTTTATCGTATGAACGTAACCACATTGTTGACGTCACTTTCATTTCTCGCGTATGAACTTATGAAGAAGAAAGAGACAGTGCTTTCTTTCCGTTTGATCCAGATACCATAAATCACGATCAACCAGATAACATAAATCAGAATCAAAATAAAAGTCAAATAGATCATCTCACGACCACACATGTAACGAACAGGCAAGTCAATCGATAGCAAGACGAACAAAGCATATTAGCTCCTAAATAACATTGACAGATTCTCTTCGTAGATTTTCTCTTTCTTCATTCCTTTATTTAACGTCGGTCTCTGTTCCGCAATCTAGTGCCAATCACCAACATA